CATGGTCCAAAGCTGCCGATTTACATAAGATACTTGATACATTTGAGTATGTACTTTTACTTACTATATAAGAAACTATTTTAAAAACAATAAATACTACAAGCAATGCAAACAGTGAATGATCATTTTCAATAATGGCCATAATAGAATTTTTTTAAGGTCCACGTTATGCCAACAAAATAAAATAATTTGTAGTGTATAGTCTATCTTTTCTCATATATCTTTGTCAAGGGAATGCTTGCCAAGCACAAAGAACTCAAATCAGTTCGCATATACGTACACCAGAAGAAAGATACTAGATACGCATAAATATTATGCAAATGCATGAAATAAATCAATTAAAAAAATAATTTAAATGATTAAAGCTTAAAAAAATGGATAAATAATTTATAAAAATGTAAAAATTGTAAAATTTGATGAGTTTTCTGAATAATTGTTCATGGAAACTGAAGAGTAGGACCAAACTCTAAAAATGTGCAAGGGTGCGTTCAAGGGCAAATATTGGTATTATAAGTATATGATCTCCATCACTCTTGCACTGGCTACTTATAAAATATAGAATATTTTTTAAAATTTGCACTTTAATGTACAAAGTCTCAATGTAAATTATTCCCAAAGTATTTATCAGATAAATTGATTAGACCTGAACGCCTTACGATCGTCATGCATTTGCTTTTTTTGATCTTTTTCTCTAAAACTCTCTACCTCTTTCTCTAACTACTTCTCAATCACTTATTACGAAGTTCAGATCGTATCACAAAACCCATGTTTGTAAAATTTATTCAAAGAGCTCTGTTAAACATCATGGAAATGGTATTTTATGAACTATTTGATTGATTGATTGATTGATTGATTGATCGATGGAAGAATAGAAGAGTTATTAAAGGTTAAAAAGGTTACTCTCTCTCTTTTGCGTTAGCTTCAGAGGTTTCAACGACAAACACACACAGCGTATATGAATACGCGTGCAAACCACGCATCATACACATTGCATATGATAGGCGGGGATCTCTATGTATTCGAACCCAGTCATTGCAATAGCACGACCAGGCGCCTTTAACTATTGAGCCTATTAATTAACTTTATTAACTATGACAAACTAATTGACCCTTTTGCAGAACTAAATGTGAAAAAAGACAATATAATTATATCAAACTGTGTATATATGTTTAAGTATTATTGTTTTTGATAAATGATGTTTATGTTTGTTTGTTTTAATAAATTACGTTTATTCAAATTTTTATGTTTTTCATGTTTTTTTTTCATAAGTTTTTTTAAGCTGTAGAATTCAGAGAGACGCAAAAAGCCTGAAACAGGACACTTGGTGTCCTAGACTTTCCAAATGGTTAAAATAGCCAGAATGGCATCTTTGGACGAACCTCAACCACCCTACAAGAAAAAACACCAAGAAAAAGACAAAGAAAAAGAGAAATTCCTTCCCAGTTTCTACATAATTGAACCAAAAGACTCAGATTTAATTAAACTCTCATGTTTCCGTATCCAAAAAGAAATCTTTTCTTCTATTGGCGAAGTGGAAAATATAAAAATACTTAAAAACAGCATCATAATTCAAGTCAAAAATGCAAAACAAGAAGAAAAACTAATGAGGTTGAATAAAATTTATACAGAAAAATCAAATGCTCACCACACAGATCTCTTAACTTCTCAAAAGGTGTCATTAAAATTAATATCCTAAAAAACTGCTCTAAAGAGGAAATCAAACAAAAGCTAAAAGACCAAGAACTTTCAGAAGTAAAAAACATAACAATTAAAAAAAACGAGCAAATAATAAAGACGAACACTTACCTAATAACATTTGAAACTCATAACTCACCACAAACAATAAATATTTGCTATGAGAGAATAAGGGTAAGAGTAAATTCCAAATCCAATGAGGTGCACCAAATGCCAGTATGGTCACTACAAAAACATCTGTAATAACAGCAACTGTGGAGAAATGGGTCACAAAAAAAAACCCTGTAACAATGTCACCAAATGTTATCATTGTAAAGAAAACCATACAACATATGAAAAAACTGTAAAATTTACAGAGAACAAAAAGAGATCATTAAACTAAAAATTGAAAACAAAACCTTTGTCCCAGAGACAAAGCAGTTAATTATAAAAAGGAAACAACAACAATATCAAACTACTCTGGCAGATATAATCAAAAAAACCAACCAGAGGATAGACAAGGGTATCACCTGCAACCTAATTATAAATATAAACAATAAAAGTAAAACCCAACAAGACAATTTTCAATCAAATTTATACAATAAAAATACATCACAACCAGAACATCAGCACTCAGAAGAATTTTTTGTTACCATGGATGAGACAGGGGAAGCTTGCAATAATTTGACCAGAATAATGAAATTCTTTCCAAACATCATGAATAACATCAAGAATCCAATTATAAATATAAATACAATTAATACAATAAAAGAAAATATTAAAATTCTGCAATGGAACATAAGAGGTCTACAAAGCAACTTTCCAGAACTTCAGATCATGATCAGTGGGCTCCAACAACACATCATTTACCTACAAGAAACTAAAATAAATCCAAATAAAGAATTGAATATCAAAAACTTTGTTCGCTTCTTAATACCGTCTATCTCAATCTAAGCCCTCAGGCGAAACCGCAATCTTCATCAACAACAAAATTACACAATCACTCATTAAAATAAAAAAAAACTTAATTTAACAGCAGTAAAAATCATAACAAATAAAACTCTCACAATTTCCAAAATGTATAGCCCCCCAAATTTTTTATCTCAAGCGGAATTAATACTGGAAGCAATTGAAGATCTTCCTAGACCCCTGGTCTTGGTAGGGGATTTCAATGGCCATAATTATTTTTGGGAAAGTCATCAAATTAATTGACATGGTAAAATTATAGAAAAGGTAATAACAAAAAGGAATTTATGCCTAATTAAACCTTCAGGTTCCACATATTTTAATGAGCCCTCGTGTTCCTCTTCCACGTTGGATTTGACTTTGGTATCTCATAGCATACAAGAAGACGTCTCTTGGGTGGTTATGCAAGATTTACAAGGAAGTGACCACTATCCAATAATCATTGACATCACTAACATAAACAACAAAACAACAAATAATAAATAAAAGTAAATTAAATTATAAAAAAAACTGATTGGATAAAATTCAGGGAGTTTTGCTCACATCAATTCTTACAGCGGAGCGACATGAAAAATGCTTCGTTGGAAAACTGGACCCGAATAATAAAAACGTCAGTTGAACAGTCAACACCATAATTAAAAATTAGTAACAATAAAATCCTAAATCTATGGTTCAATAAAAACTGCAAAGAATCTATTAAAATTAAATTGGATCACCTTAAAACATTCAAGAAAAACCCAACAGTTAATAATCTAATAGAATACAAAAAAGCAAAATAGTCAACACACTAGCAATTCATTCCAAAGCAAATCGCTAATAACCAATCATAACAAAACCTTCATAAAAAAGAAAAAAATTTCCATAAATTTTAAATCCACTAATAATGAACAATATAACTAACTAATCACTTTGAAAGAAATTAAAGACGAAATAGAAATCACTTATGAAATACTAAAAAATATCCCGACCATTGCAACTGAAAACCTGTTAAAGACCTTCAATAAAATCTGGACCTACTCAATAGTCCCACAGTCATGGCACCATGCCATCATTCTTCTATTCCATAAGCCTGGTAGACCAATAGAAAATCCAGATAGTTATCGCCCAGTATCATTAACTAGCTGCGTTAACAAAATCTTTGAAAAAATAGTGAATAAAAAATTAATATGGATCCTTAATAAAAATGACATAATATCTGAAAAACAATCTGGAGGAAGAAAAGGAAGATCTACTATAGACCATATTGTATCATTAGTCTTTTATAAGAAGTACTCTGGCCAGTAATGAACAAACTATAACGGCGTACGGGATAATGGAAAACCTCTATAAAGCGGGTCTCCGAGGACGCCTTATCAAATTCATTCAAGATTTCATATCAAACCGCACATTCCAGGTGAGAATAAATTATGTGCTATCAAGTTTAAAAAATTTAGATATGGGTATACCACAAGGAAGCATCCTATCACCCATACTTTTTTGCCTGAATATCAACACAATCACCGCCATTATCCCAGAGAATGCATTGAGATGCCTATATTTAGATGATTTAACCATAACCATAAAAGATAATGTGATCAAAATATAGAAAAGGAGGCTAATAAGATATTGAAAAATATAGATGAGTGGTCAAAAGAAAACGGGATAAACTTTTCAAAAATCAAAATAACTTGTATGCTCCATACTAGAAAAAGGAAAAATAACCCAAAAATAATATATCAGAATGCAATTATCACTTAGGGCCACAATAAAATCCATATTGGACTACGGATGTCAAGTTTATGGTGCTACAAGGAACTCCTACATAAAAAATTGATCCAATCATCAATGAAAGCCTTAGAAGATGCCTGAAAGCATATCAAACGTCATCATCAGACAGTCTCCACGTCTTCGCGTCTGAAATTCTAAGACAACTCAGACATCTCAAGTTAACAATGAATTTTTATATGAAAGTTCAATCACAAAGCAGCAATCCAGCTCACAAATTCATTTCCATAATTACAAAAGAAAAGAAAAAATCAAAAGCCATACCCATCTTAGGTGATAGAGTAGTTGAACACATAAAAAATCTAAATAATACAAAAATCATTTAAGAAATACCACTAGAAGCTCCACCATGGAACATTAAAACTCCAGAAATAAACATATCAATTACAAAATATAATAAAAGCTCAAGCTCAAGTAAAATGAGCTTCTACGAAATATTAGAAAAACATCCGAATAACATTATAATATATACAGATGGGTCGAGACAAAAAGGATCAATATCAGCAGCAGCAGTCATTACTTGTCTCAAACAAACCCTACTCCAACAACTCCCACCATACGCATCGACCTTCGCAGCTGAACTGATATCAATCAACATGGCACTGGATCACATAAAAAACTCCAAAACAAACCAAATTCTTATTGTCACAGACTCCTTATCCAGTCTCACGGCGTTAAATTCGGATAGAAATAGAAACTCCCTAGTAATAATGATTAAAAACAAAATTCACAACATAATGATGAATAATAATTCAATAAAATTAGTTTGGAATTCAAGCCACATTAAAGTTTTGGGTGACGAAAGAGCAGACCAGGCTGCCAGCCTGACACACTCTCTTCCAGTATCAAACATTCCAATACCAATGTCCGATATAAAACCCAGCATACATCAATATATTGTAATAAATAATAATAATAATAATAATAATAATAATAATAATAATAATAATAATAATAATATAAACATTTATGAAGCGCCCATTCGCACAGCTACTCCAGAGGCGTCCGTAGCCCGTGTTAAAAAGATGAGTCTTTAATCTCTTTTTGAAAAGACTCAACGAGGAACATTATCTTAACTCAGGAGGTAACTAATTCCAGACATACGGAGCAGCGTGACGAAAACCGCGGCCAGCCAGGTGAGATCCGGCAATGGTAATGTTTAGGAAACCTGTTGAGCTGCTGCGGAGTGATCTAGTATGTTCATGTCTGGATATGAGGTCGTATAGATATGTTGGAAATTTTAATAAGAGAGTTTTGAAGGTAAGGACTGCAATTTTGAAGATGATTCGAGCGGAATTTGGAAGCCAATGAAGCATTGGAAAGAGAATGGAAGTACTAAAACGAGGAGGTTTATTAAATATCAGTTTAGTAGTTTTATTTTGGATAGTCTGTAGCTTTCTGACAGATGCACGTGAGGCCCCATACAATAAGGAGTTGCAGTAGTCTAATCTAGAAAGGATCAAACATCTGCAAAGGGCAGCAGCAACATCACATGTAATCATATGTCTAATATGTCTTATTGCGCAGAGGTGATAGTTGCAGGATCTGACAATTTTTGATATGTGTTTATCAAAATTTAGATGTCTGTCAAAAGTGAACCAAGCAACTTATCGCACCCGAGGTAGGCAATGTGGACCCTGCTATGTCCATTTCCTCGAGCTGAAACTTCGACAGTTGTTGATGTGTCCCAATGATTATAATTTTAGATTTGTTAGGGTTGAGAAGGAAATTATTAGCATACCACCGATAAACCTCTCTAGTACAATTGCTTAAAACTCGAAGGTTGCTTTCAAGATTGCCAGAAGTGGCAGATGAGTGTCATCAGCGTAGTGATGAAAAAATAATTCATTTTTACTAAAAATGTCGCTAACAGGAGACACATAGGTAGTGAATAAGATTGGACCGAGAACGGAACCCCGAGGGACTCCAGTGTCGATCAAGCAGGTAGAGGAAGTATGGTTTCCCAGCTTCACAAACTGCTGTCTGCAGCTCAGGTAAGATCTAATTAGTGATGGTGCATGGCCATCAACCCCAAACTCCTGTTGTGGGCGTTCGAAAAGAACTGAGTGACTGATGGCAGCGGACAAGTCGAGCCCAACTGCAATGATTACCTTTCGGTTGCCAGCTTTATTAAAAATATCGTCAGCAATGTGTAGCAATGCAGTCTCAGTGGAATGATGAGAACGATAAACAGATTGAAGATTTGGATAGTTATGATTGGACATTAGGTGGGCACGTAGTTTTAGCAATATGACGCGCTCAAGTAGCTTTGAGAATGTTGATAAGTTTGATATAGGGCGGTAATTTGACGGGTCATCTGGATCCAAGGATGGTTTTTTCAATAGTGGTAGAACCTGAGCAGTTTTATAAAGTAAAGGAAAGCATCCCGTGCTGAAAACAAAGTTAGTCAGCTTGACCAGAATAGGTGCTAAGATCGACGAGAATTGCTTTAGCATTGAGGTTGGAATAGAATCAATGGGTGATGTTTTGTTTGGTAGAGAGGCAATGAGTTTAGTCATCTCATCACAATCAGAAAATTGAAGAAAAATGTCGCCTTTATATGGACGAGCAGGGAAAGTGACAAAGGTGGATTTAGAGATAGCGGTGAATATTGAGAGGTGTATTTTTTTTATTTTTTCCTGAAAAAATGTGCCGAAGGAATTAATCAGCCTCTTGCAATCTGCATCACTATACCGATGGACAGGGTGGCTATGAAGAACTTTGTTAGTCAAGCGCCACAGGAAACGAGGGTTTGAATTTGATTTACCGAATTCAGAGCTTAAAAAGTCCGCTCTAGATTTGAGGATGGCGGTTTTAGCTACGTTTTTTGCAACCTTGTAAGCATGTTTTACCGCGTGACGAGGATCCAGCCGCAATTTTCTTTCTAGGCGTCTACACTCTCTCTTTGCCTGACGTGCCTCATCAGAAAGAGTGAAGATATGTTTTTGGCCACGTGTCGATCCAGCAAACTTTGCAAATTCCGATCAAGGACTGAAGTCAGCATATCAGGATCCAGTGAAGCAGAGGGCAGAGAATCGACAACAGCTATTAAGTCAGATTGAAATCTGTTTAGGTTAATGCGATGTATAGGCCTATGTGTACGAGTTTCAACTACATATGTCCACAAGAATGAGGGCGATAAAGAACGGCGAGAATAATAGCCGACTCAAGGCACACGAGCTTGGTGACAAGCAGCTCGAACGTTGTGAAAATACCAAAATCTAGTGCTGAATGTCGAAATGTCGCCCGGTATACAACAGAGATGCCACCACCACGCCGATCAGGCCTATGATAATGTGCCACAGAAAAACCAGGCGGGGCAATATCCAGCCTCACTGCATTGGTTGCGTCAGATAAGATCCAAGTCCCCGTGAGTGCCAGTATGTCAATGCCATTGTCGGCAATGATGTCATGAAGGAGAACCGCTTTATTGACAGCCGAACGAGCATTCAGCATTCGTATCCTTGTCGCAACAAAAATAGAATCAATCCAATAACTTTTTAAAAAGTTCAAACCCTAAAGTAAATAGTCCAAATCCAAATGTATTGCATTTAGAAAGAAAATACCAAACGATGTTAAACAGAATCAAAATAGGCCACGCAAAATTATCTCACCCTTGGATTTACACAAGATCTTTATCTCCATGTTGCGATACTTGTGGTACAAGACTGACCATTCATCACATTATCACAGAATGTCAAAAATACCAGTTAAACTGAAGAAGATTCATTTAGCATTCAAAACACAATAAAATACTTAACAGATTAAAATAAATATGAACATCCTTACATTTGCTATAAATTTTCCGGAATCAAAATCTAAAATCATTTTATTTTCAACTAACCTATTTGATAACTAAGTAGCAACTCGGTTGATGATCGCTAAGCAACCGGTTAAAAACTGATTGTTTACTTTAACTTTAATTCACTTTTCAACAAATATAGCGATTCTATGCAACAAATTTGTAAGATTGACCTTGACCTTATATGTATGAGCAATATATATATATATATAATTTCAACAAATATTGCGATTCTATGCAACAAATTTGTTAGATTGACTTGACCTTATATGTATAAACAATGTATTATATATATATATATATATATATATATATATATATATATATATATAATGTGTATGCCATATCCATATTATATATATCCATGGACACAACTCAACATTTTGTTTGCTAGAGCTTCAAAAAGAAGTCAAATAGTTATGAGAACATATATGCACAGTATTCACACTTCAAAATATTCATAAAATATATAAAAAATACATTATATTTAATTTTTAACAAAGAAATAAATAATTACTATTCACTGAAAATAAATATAGTTAATGTCTGTAAATTTTTATATCTCATCCAGTAAAATCTAATAAAACATACAATAAAACACAACAATAAAAAATTAAATATCAATCTAAAATTAAAAGACACGGCTCAACATTTTGTTTGCTACAACTTCAAGAAGGAGTCAAACCGTTATGAGAACATATATGCACAGTATTCAAACTTCAAAATATTCATAAGCGTTTCTTTTGTGCCTGAAATGAATTTATAATACCATAGGCCTAGCCAGAGTTTTGTTTTTTTTGGGGTGGTTTAAAAAACATTATTTTTCTTTAAAAAGTTCAAACTAATTCAAACGCAAATGCTTGCCATAAATATAGCAACAAATGAATAATAGTGGAAAAATACTATCAAAGTACAAATGTAAATATACCAAAAACTAAAATTTTTATTCTAAAAATAAAATTAAAAATAGCATACAACTAAATTTATGATAAAATTTTTTTTCTTGAAACTAAATATTTCTACAATATGTCTGGCATCTAAATTTAAATTATAGTGAACTTTTCATAAAACTAGTCCATTTAACATATTTTCGGGTGTGGTGCTTCTTAGATTTATATTTTAGTCTTCATTTTGATTCTTTAAAAATTTTTAAGCATTTGTATGTAGACTAGAAAAATTTTTTTCTGGTGTGGCAGTTTGACACTGGTAAAGTTGCCAAAATTTGAAGTAGAGTGTATTATATATTTGGTCACGAATTTTATAACACAAATCTGAACGTACTAAAAAGGATTTCAAAGATTTTTTGGAAGCAAAACTAGCTTCCCATAACTTTTGTATGCTTGAAAACTCTTTCATGCCTTTATACTATTTTATTACATTGTTATAGTATTGTATGTATAGTTTCCGCATTCATATCAGCAAAATGTAATCAATTTTTTTCTTATAAATACAAATTGACTAGCAATATAAGCACATATAAACACTAAAAATAAACACTTTACACAATAAAAGCGGCCAGTAACAAAAAATGGTATCTAAATAATCCGATTCAAGACTGCGGTATATGTCAAAGAAACAAAGACAGCACAATAAAATCATTTGTAAACCGGGCATTCACACAATCTTCCGATATTGAAAATCGCGACGCTGAATTAAAAAGAGTCACTAACCTACTTGTAAACAATGGATATAAGACGTATTCTATTGAAAAGATTGTTAAAGGCAAATTACTACACAACAATAACCTTCCTAGTTCCAACAATCAAGATAACGACATCATCTTGTATTACAGAAATCACATGTCAACTGCATACAAAGTAGATGAAGCTATTCTTAAACATATCATCAATAAAAATGTCACACCAACCAACCCAAATAATAAAGTTAAACTCCGAATATATTACAACAATAAAAAGACGTCTCACCTAATACTGAAAAACAACTGTAGTCCTAGAGATAACTCTGTGCTAAGGCGTAATCACGTAATATATGAATTTAATTGCCCCTTTGACGGCTGTGCACGTCAACATGACTCATATATCGGGATTACTACTACCTCATTGACCAGAAGGCTTACGATGCATAAACAGAGTGGTGCTATCAAATCTCATTTGGATTTAACACACTCAATCACTATTAGCCGTGAAATCCTCGACAGTAACACTAATGTAATATACCAGAACAGCAACTACACGCATCTTAAAATTTCAGAAGCAGTCCTAATTGACATCAATAAACCAAAAATAAATATACAACAAAAAATGACAACCTCACTTCCAACCCGGCGCTATATATGTTGGTAATAAACCATAATTTTTACAATATTCTATAAATTCTACCGAATGTTTGGCGTTAATATGTTTGTAGTTCGCTTTTTCAATTTTTCTCACTATAGTTTTTTGGTGAACGTTTAGTTTATTAAAATTCAAAATAATATTTTTAATGGTAAATTATTTAGTTCAGTTTAATAGTCGTTTTTGGAACTAATTC